TTTAGCATAAATTAAAAGAATAGGTAAATGTAGGACAAAGAAATAATTTGAAATATTAGAAAAAAAAATTCAAAATTTGATATTAAAAATTAATAATAAATTTAATAACATTGGTGGCAAATAAAAATAAATGTAACAATGTTTGATGTTAATAATTGAAAGCAATTTATTTCTAATGCTTATTGTGATCTTATTAAAAATCTGATTGATAATTTTCTTTGACAATACTTGAAATTAATTATTACTAATTATTCAATATTTGAAGATTAATTTTAATAAATATAGAAGTTATTAAATTATTTAATTAACAATTGTAATTGATTTTATTTAAAATATTTTTTAGCTTTGTTCAAAAATTGAATTTAAATTAAATATTTCCTTATCTAGTAAAAAATTTTAAATTTACTAACGTGCAAATAGCTTAGATACATTTTGTATTTTAATCATGTTTATTTATCGTATACGCATTGAAGCAGCTTTTAATTGTGCTAATTGTTATATATATATATATATATATCTTTGATATATTATTTTTATATATTTAAATTTTATTTTATATATTTTTAAAATATAGATTATTACATAGTATACTGCATTATGCGTTGCGATAAGTACATAAAAGGTAACTTGATTTTATACATCCATCATATAAATTTAATCAATCAGCTGGAAGTAAAGTCTTTTACGCATTAGAGTGGGCAGTCTAGGATAATAATGATATTATCATTACTGAGTGAAACATATGCAATTTTGTGAATTTGGATTAAGAAAAAAACCTCGTGTATACCAATAGTGGCCAGGAGTATGATAATTTTGATGGTTATATTGCTAAAACTGACGTTTGCAGATTCTACCAGCGTCAGCTCCTAGCTCTGCTCGTCTCCCCGCCACTACTACTACTGCTACTACTACTACTACTACAGCCACCGTGAAAAAAAGTCTAGCAATCAAAACTGAACAAAAAAAAAAGCCTGCCTGCCCACTAACTTCCCAACCAGTCACCATCAGTCACCACCAGTCACCGGTAGGAGCCAAGTCGTCCGTCAGTTGACAGTCCGATGCTGTCCGTCAGTCCGTCAGTCCGTCTGTTCCCCTTCAAAAAGACTTCTTCGGGCTACCTCAACCTCTAGCGGCTAGGAGCATCGTGAATCCATCGAACAGCCAACGCGATATGAACAAATACTTCTGTCAAACTCTCGGCGCGTCAATCCGTCCGTCCGTCCCAACTTCTACTACTACTACTACTACTACTGCTACTACTACTACTCGTCAACCATCACGTTAAACTTAGCCAACAACGCGACCGCCACTTCTCTTCGACTGAGCAAAGCAAAATGATCACCACCTACACACCATCCCACCACCACCCAATCAAGTACCACCACCACCAACCACCACTACATGTTCACAGTTATCTGGTATTTCACCGATTTTCAAAGATTTTTTATCTTTTTTTCTTTTTATTATTTTTTTTTATTTTTTTTATTTTATTTAAATTTTTTTTATTTTATTTTATTTTACTTTATTTTTTTTTTTTTTTTTTTTTTT